CATATATGTGGATTAAACACCCATTCACATATTAACGGTGCCTTTCTTAAGTCTCCTACCATTCACAACACAACACTGAGCTTTTGTTGAGTTGGGATTCGCAATAGTCGAGCAGAGTAACACACATTTGTGCAGCTGTCCACAAGCCAAACCATCGACATTAGGTTTAGTCACGGCCAAAAGGCTAATTTATGCCATATGGACGGATCAAGTGAAATGAGACACATTATAGAGTCCAAATTATGATTGTTTAAATTATGTTTTTAGTAAATGTCAACCCCTCTGCCAGACAAATGCTATTGGAGGGTTATATGATATTAAATATCAGACATCTGGATCATCATGATGCATAAGCATCAACTTGCTTTTCTGGTCATGTTAGGTGAAGTTCTGCCAGATCCCAACTGCTTTTTGGTTGTAGTTCAACAGCTCTGTCTGTCAGGTGGTTACTGGTGCATGCTAATCCGATGCTGGCACACAATATTCAGCAAAGTGCCACCAAACATTTCCTTGTCCCGCTGAGAGAGGAGTAGGAGTTTTTGTAACGCTACTTAAAAAAAAAAAAAAATCTCAAACCATTTTGGCCTTTCTGGCTGTTGCGATTCCAACTCATTTCCTGAGACTTATTCTGGCATGTTCCTCTTACAATTACCACGCTCCTACAGAGCGAAGTTTTAGTAAACCATAGTTAAACATACAATGAAGAAATATAATCTACAAAACTATCTTGGAATCCTATTCTGATCCAAAGTCGGCAGAGAAGCTACATAAAAATACCACAGAAAGTGCATTTACAGACTGTTTAATGCTGCACACATAGATTTACACAAATTACACTTGCAGAAATAACGTAGTAAAATTTATTAAATTATTAAACACTAATTGATTGATGGAATTTTGATTATTTTATACATTTTTATGCAATTGTATAAAAAATTAAGAAATAATTTATATATATATATATATATCTGTCGTGTCGTGACAATGACAGGTTTAAGGCTGCACTAATGTAGCATTTTATTTACACAAATTTTGTGTGTATACCAGACATTGACTAGAGAGATGTATAATACGTTCTTTACAGCAAAAATTAGAGTGAAATAGTATCAGATATCAAAAACCACATCACATCAGATGTCATATTACGGTTAGGAAGAGAAATATACAAAATTACATTTTCTTAAAACCAACATTTTTGTGTAATTTTGACAACAATATGATCAAGGTTCTATGACTCACTGTATTCTTTTAAAAATGATAATATCATGCTTGTCTCCTGCCTCCTTTTCAGTATGTCCCAAACTAAACCTATGCCCTTGGCTTCATAGAAAGTAGAGCTGGGCGGTATGATATATATCGTAACCACGGTATGGATCTTTAGAGATTTTGCTATATAGTAGTATGTAAATTTATATATTATATACTATAGATATGTATAGCTGCCTCTCTAAGAAGGCATTTGTGAATCCAGTTCTATTTCAAGTCTTATTGCGTGTTTAATCGACCATTCAAGCGCAATTTTTTCGAAATGGCTATCATGTGGAGTATTCATGTAAACAGTTATGTCTCAAATGAAAGTAAACAGTTGGGTGTAAACCAGAGGTGTATCATATAATGGATCCACGCATTCAGTCATTAAATGATTAGTTCACATTTAAATGAAAATTAGCCCATGATTAACTCACCCTCAAGCCATTCTAGTAGGTGTATATAAATTTCTTCTTTCAGACGAATACAATCAGAGTTATATTATAAAATATTGATTCCAATCAACAGACTGAAGCTCAAAAAAGGGCATTCATCTATCATAAACAAAATCCAAATGGCGCCGTCGGGTTAATAAAAGGCCTCCAAAAGCAAAACGATGAGTTTGTGTAAGAAAAATATTCATTTTTAGCACGTTAAAAAGTGCGTTACAAAATTCTAGCTTCAGGCCAAACGGCCAATTTATGACTTCGGTATAAAGTAGCATAGCGTAATATCAGCAGTGCTTTACACTTAAGCAGAATCAGAATGTATGTTCGTTTGGCCGGAGACTAGTTGTTTTACTTTATAAAGTTTTAAATATTAATATTTTACTTACACAAACTCATCGTTTTGCTTTAGAGGGCCTTTATTAACCCCTTAGTTTATGATAGATGGATGCACTTTTTTTTAGCTTAAATCTGTTGGTTGCAGTCCACTGCCATTATAAAACTTGGAAGAGGCAGGATATATCCATATATATATATATATATATATATATATATATATATATATATATATATATATAAAACTCTGATTGTATTCGTTTGAAAGAAGAAAGTTATATACACCTAGGGTGGTTTAAGGGTGAGTAAATCATGAGCTAATTTTCATTTAAAAGTGAACTACGCCTTTAATGTGAATCAACTCTTTTTTTAGCTTTAATAATACATTTATATTTAATGCATACAATGAAGACTATGCAATATTTAATTTCTTAAATTTGATTATTACATTTCTGTACTAATTCTATATACATGTTAAATAAACCTATTGTACCTGAAAAACTTAATTTGTTCCAGTTCCAATAATAGTGAAATAAAAATACAAGAATTTGGTCATATCATCCACCCCTAACAGAAATTCAAAACGAAGAGATGTCAGACGTGTCTCTTCCTCTGTCTAAAGAGGTAATAACGCAATGCATATTTCATGCTTGTGTGCCTTGCTTCTAAAACAGAGCATAATATCAGCTGAATGTGGTCAACTATTCAACCACCCTTACCATTAGAGAATAGTTTTATTCTTAAAGCAATAAATAAAGACAACATGCAAAGTGAGGAACATTTCAGACCATCAATCTAATCAATGCATGAATCCCTCTGGACTATTAAAAGCAGTTAAGTGAGTCCATGCATGTAATGCATATGCTGTCAGATCCCCCTTTTCTTGAACGTCTGCATGAGTGTCACTGAAACTATTTCACTTCTATTTGCTCATAACATGCTAAGACCACATCTGAAATAAGTTCATACTTAACTGGATTGAGATTGAAGGCTATTTAAGATGACTCAAGGCTGATTTTAATCGACTAAAGCATACAACTTTTAGAAGGCTAATAGTCTGTTTAGCCAGCTAGCGAGTGTCAAATATGCTTTAGCTAGCTGGCTAATTAGTTTCCAGACTGTAGCCAACAGGAAAAAAAGTTGTTATAGGTAGAATAAATAAATACATAAAAGGGAAAAGTACACGCTATGACTCAAGTAGGGTAGTACACACCTTATTTGCATGAGATAACGCCTAGTTCCTATATATTAATGTGTGAAGAGAGTAAAAGTGAGCTAAGTGAGCAGTGTAGCAAAACTTCCTGCTGCTTTGCGATGCCACTAGAAATAGCTTACATGGTTTGTTAGTGTTCTAAACACACACATTTAATACAAAAATACTGATGTCATATTAGCAAAAGATGCCCTTAATATTGTAAATTAAAAGTTGGTGATATAAATCGAAGAAGTAATTATCACTGCAGCATCTCTAATTTTTCGTATAGGCAAAGACACATTTTACAAGCACTTTCAAACATTCATAGCCGAGACGTGTAAAAATACAAGCTGTTCTTTAAAAAATTACTATCACTTTAGATCATCCTAAAATATGCAAAAGCTGGAAAAATAAATAAAGTATAATCCACCCTAGTTCAACACTGACACACTAAGCTACGCCCTTACGCAAGTCCCTAAAAGATCACACTGAAACTTTTTCTCTCCCACAGCAAATGGCTGAAAACTACTTTAAATAGCTGCGACCAGACAACAGGGTGTGATCGTTTTTCGCCCTAAAGCGCAAATATAAAGCTCAACGGATCTGAACGGCATGTGAAACCAGCTGGAAAGTGATTTGGAAAGTGTTATATTTGTGTAGAAAGGGTGGTTACCTGAGTCAGGGAGAGACTGGCAGCCATAGTGTTTCAGTTCCCACTAGTTCATCCTGCGTTTCGATAGGCAATGGGCAATATAGGGATGCTACAAAACCTGGTGCTGGATTACTCTGTGGATTGAGGCTAAATAAAACCCGGCACTGGATTATTCACTGGATCTGTAGGTGGTGGGTCACAGTTGATGGCTGCTCCAAGTTCTCTGGTCACTGGTGCTCACAGTGTGTACAGCCAAATGATGTCCAGCTCCACCTCTGTGGGTCTAATGGTGGAGGGATTGAGTTATCGTTAGGGTGTGGTTGGACCTTCTAGTTATACACCCAGAGAGGGGGAGCTCGACTTCACGCTCCACCCATGGCTCTGCAAAACCACCACACACTGGACTGGAGTCCTCGGTGGATTAGAGCACCAAAACATGGTGCGGGACTAATGAGGAAAATGGCTGAGGATTGAGGATTGTAGTGCTAAAAGATCTCAACCTCAAGATTCTCATGATGGATTTTTTTTGTGAGTAAAATAAAGTCTGTGGTTAACTTTATTGCTGAAGTATTATTATTTTATTTCTTATTATTTTTTAGACTTGTGCTTGCTGTTGAAATTTAAAACATGAATTAAATAAACAGTTTTTAGTATGTCCATTTCTTTTTCTATTTTTATTTAACTACATTTTAAAAACATACATTCAATTTGTCTGCTAATTTGTGAATTTAAAAGTGATTTACATTTTAATTTTTGAATTATTAAATTAATAACATATTCATTTTAATTTTAAGTGACACTCATTGTCCTCGATACTTGACGAATCACACAACAGATTCAGTATTCATGAAGCATGAACGTAATGTACTGTACAAAACATAGAAGTACTTTTAACCACAGACATTATTTTACTTGAAAACCTCTTACTGATATTCTACAAAGTGAATATGTATTTTAAGAAATTTATTATTTTACAAATAAGTGAAATTTAAAAAAAAAAAAAGTGAGTTTCCAAAAAAAAAATGTGGAACCCCCTGAAATGGAGTTTTGCCACTTTAGTGAAAATAGTGAAGAAGAAATGTAATTTATTTAATGTTCCCAACAAGCCAAGAAGAAACTTATGTATGATAACCCTATTTGTAGTTTTATTATTGGACAACAACTGTCATACCAGAGCTTTTCTTCTCAAAATGTCAAGGTACATCCTTCAAACACAAAAAGTACAAAATATATCTTTAAAAAAAAGGTCACAATCCATTTTGCTGGGAGAAGTATGATTGAAGCAGTACAGCAGTGCAATATTCACAATGGCTGTGAAATCTGTCGTGTTTCTAGAATAATAGAAGACTTACCCTGCAACACCCTTGAAATCTTACACACATTTTTAAAATTTTCCTTACTCCACAGGTTCAGCCAGGCCCTAATAACCACATTTGCTGAATAAATCATTCAGCAAATCAGTTGAACCCAAACAAACAATTGACAGCAACTGCAAGAAACCATTATTAACCTTGATTTGCTTTCGCCGTACTTTCAGCCAAACATGCAAATTCTTAATTCGGTATAAAAGTTTGCTTGCTGACCAGGGCCAGATCAAAACCATATCAGCTTTGTGAAATCCGCTATGTGTTCAGGAAAGTATACAACCAAGAACCTGATCTCTAATATACTGATATTGAGAGCAAGTACGTGGTTATGAAGTTGAGGTTTGGTTTAAGATGAAACATGCAATAAAGTAAGTAAAGTAAGGACTCTCTCTCAAACCCAAAAAACACACACACACATGTAAAAATGTGTTAAGCCAAAATGCTGTAGATGAGAAACAACTTCCCGTATTCAGAAGTGAAATGAGAACAAAATGATGGCAATAACTGCTCCACATTATCAATGAAATATAGTAAATGTTCTTTGAGGTAATCATATTAGTTTCTGAGAATTGTATCTATGATTCAAGTTTCATGTTACAGAATTTCTTAGGATATTCTGACATATGAGCATTGAATTTTTATGGATCATCTCACGCTATAGACAAAGATTTTCATATTGGTTCTGCTCAACTCTCCCTGACTGAAAACGCTTGGGATTTTGCTTGACATCATGCAAATGAAAATTATGTAAAAATGTAATCTATAAATAGGGTTGTAGTAGTGGAAAGGGACAAAACAATCTTGCCAGATTCATCCGACACACACAACAAAAAGGAATGTCTAGCATTAGTCCAGTTCTCTGTATTGTACCCCATTAGTCATGGGATATTTCTTCACAAGTTCCTGTTGAAATCTACAACTCATCTTTGAGTTTAGAGTCTGTTTCCTCTTCCTCCTCCTCCTCTTCTTCTTCTTCTTCTTCCTCCTCTTCCTCTTCTTCCTCCTCCTCCTCCTTATCTTCATCTTCCCCTTCATCCTTCACCTCCTCCTTTCTTGTATTTTCCTCTTCCTCACGCTTCTTTCTGTCTTCCTCTTCTTGACTTTCTTTCATTTTCTTCTCAGCATCCTGAGAGGAACAAAAACAACAAAACATAAACATGAGAAAAACGACAATAAAGTGGAAAATAATTTAATAGGGAGCAATAATAAATCAAAGCAGCGTACCTTTGTGGCACCCCAAGTCTCATCGCCAATCTCATCTGCCAGTTTGGGGTCATTTGTAATGAGAAAGTTGTCAAAAATGGTGCCAGACTTAACCTAATAAAATAAAATACAAGGAAAGTTGGTTTAAAGCACATCAATAGACAGTTATTAAATATCTGAAAACTTGAATTGTCTTTGGGAGCCAAAATAAGAAAACTGCTAATGTACCTGCCACAAGTCCAGTCCGATCACTCCGATGCTATCGTATTTATAGATTTCGCTGTCAGCAGTGTATTCTGGATTATCAATCTCAGGGTGCACCCATTTCCCCTTGTAAGCAGGATTGTCAATCTGGTTGGGTTTCCACTCACCCTGGAAAAGATTAAAAACTCAATATCGAAAATAAAACCCAGTATTCACTGTGACAAAGCCATGTTCTTTTGGTATTATCTGCATTTTTGTTCAATATTTAAGTCAGGTTAAAGCAGAAATTCACCCTATTTTCTATATGCTATTGGTCTTATTCTGAATTAATTATCCATGTATGCGTTTCATAAAAAACATAGATTTTGTCATTTAAAATTATTTTTTTTTTGATTGTAGTTCTTCTGACAAATTCTGGACATTTCCAAGAAATTCACCCACATAAATCCCGACCCTTTCTTACAATCAACCTTAAGCTAACATTCAGATCTATGGAGACTTGTTTCTGCCGCAAAATAAAATAAATAAATAGTAATTGTGACCATTGAGAATCTCAAAATTCAGTTTATATCTCACAATTCTGACATTTTTTCACAATTCCCTCAGAACTGTGATATAAATTCACAGCAGCCAGTTTTAATATCAGAATTGTGAGATATAAAACTCACAATTGCAAGACAAAAAAAAGTTCAAATTGTGTGGACAATTCGCAATTCCTAGAAAAAGTCAGAATTGTGAGATATGAATTTAAGATTGCAAGTTATAAAGTCCAAATTTTGAGGTATAAACTAGCAATTACGAGTTATAAAGACAGAGGAGCAAGATATTTGCAATTGTGAGAAAATTCTAATATATTTTTTTTTAATTCTGTAGTGGAAACAAGCTTTATTTTTAATAAAATCAAGCTTAATATTTTTATTTTATAATTAATAGCATTAATTTCTGCATTCATCCAAGCAATAGAACCAGTCCTAACATTTTTTTTTCTTTTTTCGATAAACAATTTCACTCAAATATACAGTACATCACAAAATGGAAGAAAAGATCTGTCGCTACTTCCGTTACTTGGAGACTAAGTATTTTAAGGGAGGCATAATTAAAGAAACGTCAGTACCTTGTATTCAGGATTGGAGACCATGGGCGGCTCCCACTCCCCATCCATCTCATCATCCCAGTCATCAGGCTTCTTGGCATCGGGATCAGGGATGTTCTCGGGTTTGTCCCAGTCCTACAGAAACACACAGACAATGTTTCACAAAGCTGGAACATATAACATATACTGTATATCAGAACAGCTGTTGTTGCAATGATTTACTTAGTGATCTGTGCATATTTATCCCAACCAGTTAATCAGTTTTGCAACAAGCAAGATCTGTTTGGTTTCTTGACAAACACCATGTCCTTACCTCTGGTTTCTTGTCATCAGGGTCATCAATCTTCTCTCTCTCGTCCCAGTCCTCAGGCCTTTTCGCTTCAGGATCCTTGATCTTTTTGGGGGGCAGGAAGTCCCAGTCTTCTTCCAGAGATCCAGACTCTACCTTCTTATTATCAATCTTGACTTCATAAGTGTTGTCTGGATTGACAATAAGCGTATACAGGTGGGTGTACTCATCATCCTGGATGACAAAATACATGGTATATGAGCTAGTAGGAGTGCTGCCATGGTGCGTAATGAGACAAACAAATAAATGAACAATAAGATTACCTTGCATCTAATGTCTTTGTTGATCAAATGATTTTTGCCTTTGTAATTAAAGATTACATGTACTTTCTTGGTGCCAGGACCACAGATGTCAGGACCTAGAATAGATAATGTGTGTTAAATCATCTTGTGCGTCCAAATGCACAGAATGTTTTAAAGACTGGTCTGATTTCACATCAGATTTAAGATGCTCATCAATAGATAGTGGTTAATGAAATACTCACCAAACATGATATTATAGGTGGAATCTCCATGCATATCTTCCTGTTTGAGGTCTGATGGGAAAAGTTTGATGTAGCCTCCACCACAGTCAATGCTCTGTTCATGTTTTACAGTGAATTGGATTACGAGGGGCTGATCCTTGTTGTTGAAATCAGGAAAGCGGGATGAAACCGCGTAGAAATGAGCATCCTGGCTGGTCTGAAGACCTGAAAGTAAGCAAGATGACCCACCAATATTTCGCATTATATTTTAAATGTGAAATATCGGCTTAGTGTCAATTATGTCAATGTTTAGGAGTACACAAGAATGCCCTCCAATGAACTAAAACTTGATTTCATGTGGTCTTTACATGATAAATCTTGTGACAAGGTACACATTCCTCAATTTCAGCAAAGCAGGAAGTTGGCTATACAAATTGGACAAGATTTCATCTGTGGCAGGGCAACTGGCCCAACTACACGTGGCTTTGTATTGTTTTGAAACAGTAAATATAAGATGGTGTGACCTGTCTGCACTCTGCAGCTCAGTAGAGCACAGGGCATACGTCACATGCCGTAGCCCCTCCCCCGCGTATTATTTGTTGCGTAAAATAATGAGGAAACCACAAATTCAAGCAAAGCAGTGTCATTTACCTCATCCCTGTTATAAATAAAGCACCACTCACCTTTATCTTTCTCAGCATCGCCATAAAATTTGCCTGCAGACAGCACAAACTGGCCGTAGTCTGATTTATGCTTAGATTCCATCCATCGGCTCCTCCAGGAGTCTGAAATGTGACATGAATATGAATATGAAATTAAAACCATTATCAGCATGCCATGCATACATGCATAATTATGAGTAAAATCAGATTAAATCAAGGACATATGCTCAACACCGTTGCTGAGTTGACTATTTGTTATAAGATAACCTATTTAAACCAATATATTAAGATATTAAATTAATACTATTGCTATTATTGTTATTGTTATAATTTAATGAATACAACCCACCATTGTTGCCAAGCCATTGCAATAGCATATGGTGACTCCTCCTCCACCACATAGAATTTAAAGTCTATGGTGAATTTATCACATGCTCGAAAGCCACAGAGAGCATAAATAATAGACAAAAAGCATCAAAACATAAATGTTTCACTCACCCCCGTCTTCAAATTGCTCTCGGAAATAAACAGTTGATTCTGCAGCTATCAAAGCGATGGACACGGCCATAAACAGTAGGGATAACGTTGTCATTTTGCAGTAAAATATATTCCCCGTTTAGGAAGGGTGGAATAGTAAAATATAAAGAAAATGTATTCTAAAAAGAAATATTAGGCTTGTATATTATGAGCTCTGTTTGGATCTTTACATGCCTGCAGAATCACTGTGCGCTGATGCTGCTATCATTCGCACAGTCTCGCCTCTAGACTGAGAACAGATGGCTGGCTCTGATTGGACGGCGGGTGGAGACGAAAGCGTCACACCGGTCAGCCAATCAGATAATTTGCGGAAAGCCGTGGAACGTCCTTTCTGGCCAATGCCAGCTGACCACGCGTTTGGCAGACACTAGTAATGGGAATTGGAAAAGACTCGTTTCAGCGAATCGGTTCAATGAACCAGTTTAGAAAACGGATTTAGTCAGTGCTTGCTTACGTTTTTTTACGTCCTTGAGCTGTATTTTACAAGATATAAAATCTTATAATTAAGCCACAAATAGGCACATATTAGTGCTGTTCAGATTGTTGGGTTAAGTTTTAGGCCGCGGCGTTATCCAGTGTTTGAACGTTTTAATAAAATGTTTACGAACTTCGTAACTTATATGTTGATGAAACTGTCATAGAATCAATATGTGATTATTACTGAATATTTCCAGTGGCGTTATTTCTGCTATTAAAAAGACAGTGCTTGATTCTATGAATGAACTGTTTATTCGAAAATTGCTCGATTCATGAACGAATCTTAACAGTTCGATTCGTAGTTGTTTCAGAATTACTTCTGACATTTTTTCAGTCTGATTCAGGTTTAGCCCTTTCATTAAAGTTTATACCTAAACCCTATAGAAATATGCTCATTAGAGGAACAAGGTTACTTACTGTAATGGATTTTTAGTTTTTTATTAAACCAAGCAAGTGATTTAGTTGTTTGCAAAATCTATAGAGAAATAATGTCAAGAGTTTTGAGAGCTTGGCACGTGTAACTTTTATTTCGTTCTTTTCTTCCCACCTCGAATATCAATAACAAGGGCATTTAACAATTTTCCACTGATGTTATAAATAAGAAATGGCAATGCACAATTTAAGCTTGCTCAAACAAAAATAACAGACAATAGGCACCTTTTTCATATCACTTGCCTGATATTATTTGTAGACAAAACCTTTACAAAAGTTTATAATTTTAGCTGGTGACATAAAATCTAGTTCTTTCAGTAACATTATCAGGGCTGACAAGTAAAATGACAGTAAAATGACCATAGCTGCACGTTACTGTAGCATAACAACTGTCTTGAGTACAGCAAATAAAATCAAGTTAATTTAACAAATGGGCAAACTACAAAAAATACATACAGGCCTGTGAGAGGGGAAGATAGTGCATTACATCAAGCCTCAAATGTAAAGCAATGTTTTCTTCAATCTCAAGTTTGTCAAGCTTGTCACTCTAGCTCTTTTTTCGACCTACATAAATTTCAGTGACATATCTTCATCTTTTCCCCAACAACTCATAATGTGCTCAAAATGGAAACATCAATGAACAAAACAAAAAACACAAGTGACAATTAATTGAGTTCCAATTAAAAAACAAAAAACACAACACCTTAAGATACACAACACACAAAAAGTATACAATAAATGTATTAAACACTTTTTTTGTGGTAATTTCAGCCTATGATTACTGAAATATGCCAAAAATGTACAAATTTATTAAACAGCAACTTTAAAGAAACATTCCAGATTAAATAAAAATGTAGTGGCATATTATTTTATGCTTCTTAGTGGCATACAGTCAATCACCACAGAAAATGATGACCACTTAAAATTCTCTTTCAGTTTGTGAAAACAAACTAAAATACATTAGGCGATAATACGTACATGGAAAGTCCAGCAGATTCGATCAATTCCCTTCTTACTTTTTTTCCTATTCAATATCCTGTTTAGCTCAGAAATACATATTACGGAAGTAAAAAAAGAGCAATGCTCAAATGTTAAAAAACACTGTGGTTCTGCCTGCTTGAATAACAGCCTTCCATTGTAAGTGCATTACTGTAAATAAAATATTTTTCAAAGAGGTTAAGTTGCTTAGGTCAGATCAATACATGTAATGTTGCTTGCCTGGGAGAAGTAGCTAAGATAGAAGTACATAAAACGTTCTTAAATATCAATACAGTAGGGTTTGTTATGAGCAAGCTCTTTTGTTCCTGTCCTTTCTCTCAGAGTGTAAAATATCGAGGTGAAGGTGTGTTTTGTTTCTGCATTGTCAGGGTTGTATAATTTGCATTTCAGATATCAGCAGTCATTTCTGCTTCATTCAAGTATATTCTGTTGTTTCTATAATCTGTGATTTTGTGTAACGCTCTGTTATGGTAGAAAGAAATTGATCCTTTGAGGGATGGATTTGCAGCCCTGTGCAGAGAAGAGTTTCTCCTCCTTAGGAACATACAGCATGGCTTTGGCCACTTCATCCAGCGTTCCCTCATCCGGCTTAAGGCCACGAGCAGCATATGCATCAAGTGCACACAGTTTCACATGCCGGTACTCCAGCGGCAAGAATGGTACAAAGAAGTCAATAAGATGGCCTGACATCAGCTCGCTCTGTGCAAAACCTCCTGTAAAAGGTGTAAAGCAGTTATAAATAAAAACATACATAATGGAAATCTCAGACTAAAGCAAAGATCTGCATGTATACAGCTGTAAAGGAGGATGAATTTAAATATGCATCATCTCAGAGACTTGTGTCCATGTAAAGTCTCCAACAGCACAGCTAATAAAAATATAAAAAATACAAAAATGGTCTCACACAATAGTGAAAAAAAAAAAACAATAATATATGAAAATGAAGCAACCATAGTTGTTCTGTTATGATGTGTTTGACTGTGTGCAGCTACCTTCTGCCTCCATGGCTTCAGCCCGCAGAAGATGTTCCAAATCTTCCATGCCGATATCTTCCCTGTTCTGTCCCGAGTGCCAGAAATCCAGTGCCACCTCATTGATGGCAGCACCACCGATATTGCTAAAGCATGATATTAGGAACACATTAATAACACAAGCTAAATTTTCGTCAAATTTCAACGGTTTAATCAAACTTTTAAGGTTATTAAAAACAAATATCCCCTCCAGACATCACTTTTGGCCACAATTGTATATCATACATATACATACATAACCTGGAGAATGTTAATTGGATCTTTTTTTAATTCTATTTTTTAAGATGTAAGGTGTAAGTAAACATATGACTGTTATTTATGTGGGCAGTTGCCTACATTCCTAGAAGAACCATGCTTAAGAACTGCAAGATAAATGAGTTCCATGGACATCTAATGGCTGTATGAAGCCAACACACCAACCTGAGGAACAGAAATATGGCTCTCCTATAGCTGACCCCATCCACATTATCATAGTGGTCCATGTAGGGCTTTATGGCGTCGATGAGTCCTGGATGAAGCTTTTCTGCCTCGTCAAAGATAAAGAGAGTCTGTGGGCACCGCAGAACCATGTCTCGAATGGCTTCTCTCAGTTGGCCCTAGTCGCAAACACACACACACACACACAAACAAATACCCACACTGACTGTGAAGTTCAGGATTCCCTGACACGTACATGTTTATTTTAAAATTTTGACAGGAAAAAATCAATTGTACACAATGTAACTTCTCTGTTTGCTGAATCAGGTTTTCTAACTGAACTATCTAAGTGTATTAAGGTTGAATTGCATAATAGTACAATCATACCACTGCTTTAATGGCAGCGGTCCAATAAATGTTTACCAGAAGTCTAAATTATTTGATTGTATTAGACCCCTGGCTACGTGAACCTAGTTTTTTTTCAATACAAAAATATATCCAAGCAGATTAATTATAGTAAAAACAACAAACATTATACTAATGTTTAAGATTATAATGTAACCAAAGACTAAAACTTTGTTTGTAATAAGTTGACTAAATCAACAAAGGACAACTGAATCAGACTAAATGTCCTGGACCGACATGAGGATGTCAACCGTTGAAACTTTGCTCACCTTGTACACGTCCACCAATCTCGCGTGAGGGAAGTGGAATGGGGCAATGAACAAACGTACACATTCACTCTTTATACCATCCCGGTAAAGGTTGTCCGCTACTATCCGAGCCACAAAGTTCTTGCCTGTTCCAGACCAGCCGTGAAAGGACAGAGTCAGGGGTTTGTTGGACTCAGGGTTTTTAATGAATCCTTGAATGGCTTTCAGAACCACAGACTGGGCCAGGTGCTGCCCGTGGAGATTCACCTGTAGATCTCTCTCCAATCCTGAACACACATCCATATGCATAGGTCAAGGAAAAAAGAGAAAATGTATATTTGTATTCCAGATAATTTAGCAAATTTTCTATGCACAAAAAGTTATATCCATTGTTCACAAATTTAATGTTAAGGGTTCTCAGTTTTATTTATATATTGCTACAAAATAATGCTTTTACGAGATTGATGGCTCTACCTGTGATGTTATTTGTAATCCTACAGTCCCCTGAATCACAGCACTGACCCAGGCTGCAGTACCAAGCAGTCAGCATGCCAGTGTAGTACTGGGGAAACCCTGACCAAATGTTGCCAGTAGGCACTTAAAAGAAGAGCATGTTACACAAGCCTTAGTTTAGTGGGTTACATTACAGTCATTACATACTGCCATCAAAACGAGACTCGAAAAGGAATAACAGTTACTAAAACATAAAATTCCTTTTTCTTATTATGCATATAAATATAATTCATTATTTATTATTAATAAATTCATGCATGATGATTATATAATGAATACACTATTCTGTTAAGTACAGATAGGAAATTTAAACATATATTTATTAAAGAAATTGCAGCAAAATACACGAAAAAACGTTGGTTATCCAAAATCTCTATTACATATTGTAGGCTAGTTACTTTATAACACATTAAATATATCTTTATATGAATCTATAGCTTTACCTTGTTGTGTCGCATCATCCTGGTGTGGTTGGCAGTCCCCTTCCCATATATTGCAATAGATGTAATTGAAATAGTAGGTAGAAACATTTGAAATGCTGTCGAAGTGAAAAAAATCGGCATTAGCCGAAACAGCCAGGAGTGAGAGCAAGACTACGATTGAAAACATCGGTGCCGCCAGAAATATAGATCTTGCAAAGATTGTAACATTGAGCTATTAGATCTAACTGTATAGTCCATTTATATATACATTGGTCTCATTGACGGCAGGCCACACAAGAAATGAAACGAGACGTCACGGTCTTCATTGTAATAGTGGAATGAGCGGTTGGAATGGAATGGGTTAAATGGTAAAAGTGGGCGGTGCTTGGCTCAGTAAAAAAAAAAAAGGCCCCCCCCCCCCCCTTTTCATTTATTGATCACCCCAATGATTATTAAAATAGAAATAACAAACAATTACGACTACGTTAGTATTAAAAATGTGCATTTAAGCGGCACGTTGACGTTGTCACGTGATAACGGTTCAAATTCTAAGCGCTGATCAGTTCAGAGCAATCAGAGAGCAATCTAAGATAGCTTGATATGGTCAGCTCATGCCACCCGAATTCAATGTGCTGAATTTGGACTACACACCACATCTGTTTACCACTTCTGCCATGTATATAGTATACAAAAAGGTCTGTCTACAGGTTAAATCTAAGTACAAAGGGAGAAAAGCTTTGTGATTTTTATTTTGCCTTATGAAGCCAAATTCGACATTTAGATTTACTTGTCAACCAAAAACGTTCACAATGACTTATTTTCCTCATTTAGAAGCTTAGCTCCAAATGCTTTAAGATTTATATCTAAGAGAATTTGTTGCAACCATAGAAACCATTCTGTATCAAATTGCACACTAAACACTTGAAGGGTATACCCACAAATGGATTATACAAGCATATTTAAAAAAAAAAAGAAGAGAAAGAGCATTGGTTTTAGTACCACTTTATTGAAGTAATGACACTTTACAAACTTAAAAAAGATTGAACATCAAAAGAAACAGCATCAACAGAAGCTCTGGAACAATTCAGGAGAACACCAATGTAGATTGCCATTCTGAAAGAGGTAAAAGAAAGTAGATTTAGTAAAACACATCAACCATCAAGGTCCAAGTGGTGTCAGAGTCAACCTCAGACAATATGGAACGGTAAAGGGTATAATCAGCAGATTCATTTGGCAGAATCATGTCATCACGGGTTGCAAGAAACAAAGAAATGCCAGTGATGAGTTATACCTTCATTCCCCAGAGCAATCCAAGATGATCTTGAGCTCCTAAAAAAAAAAAAAAAGCATACAAGTAGTTAATTGGTCAGTCAACATTTGGCCCCACCTAGAACCAGGGTTTAATCAGTCAATGGCTGCATTTACCTTGGGTGGTGGGATACAGTCCCAGAAATAAGTGAAAGTCTAGACTCTTGCACTGCATACAGTGAGAAGCTACCTTACTAGCTGCGAGCGTGCACCAGTCAATATACTAGTACTGATCATAACAGGCCTAACTGTAGGTCTTGATACCCAATTCCCCATTTACAGACAGCTTACATCTCTTAAACATGAACATCTGTTAGCTGCTTTTAAACTATACTCTGAAACAACCCAAAATAGACAAGGGATGCTCATTTTGTTTTCCCCCTTAACTGAGAATATTAATTAGTAACCAAAGGCATATTAAATTAAACTATGTAATGAAAATGCAGCCAAAGACTAATCCACAATGTGAACTAAGGTCAGGCATTTGCAAAGCATCAAACCCAAATACAGAGGGCAATGCATGTTTGCAAACCAACCTGTAAAAATGGCAATTCAGAAGACAACTGCAATGTAGTCAACACCATTCATTCTGTAAGTGTGAGAAAGAAAAGCAGATTTAAAGACACTAAAAATTAACAAACATCAAGGTCCAAGTGGTGTCAGAGTCAACCTCAGACAATATGGAACGGTAAAGGGTATAATCAGCAGATTTCATTTGGCAGAATCGTGTCATCATAGGTTGCAAGAAAGAAACGCATTTTAAGATGTCATACCGGATTTGATGATTTCACAAAGCAATACTGGATCATCTTGAACACCTTAAAACAAACAAACACATGTTAATTGGTCACAAAGTCAACATTTGGCCCCATCTAGGACATGGGTTTAATCAGTTAAAGACTGTCCACATTGTGTGTTCAGGTCAGACATTTGCAAAGCATCACAAAACCCAACTATGGAAGATATTGCATGTTTGCAAACAAACCAACCTGTAAAATCTCATGTCGTATCCAAATCCACATGGTACTACAAAGCCATCACCGCTTTACCAGTCAATGAGCAGACACCTGTTAGAACAGAAAACTGCCACCATGAGGATCAGGACTTTGACAGGTCATGTGACCAGATCAGCCAGAGCTAATATCCCTCCTCCATGGCAAAGTCAGAAGATATTCAGTTCATCATAATTATCACTCATGTCAGCGGTGAAATGTTTAAAACACTTACATTCTCATGGCTGATGCGTTATCAGCAGGTCACAGGGCATCAGACCTAAATGAGAAAATCCATTAACAGACTAACTCAAGAAAAAAAAAAAAAAAAAAGCAGACATTTTCGGTCTTAATCAGAAGGTTTTATTCAGTTCATCATAATTATCACTCATGTCAGCGGTGAAATGTTTAAAACACTTACATTCTCATGGCTGATGCGTTATCAGCAGGTCACAGGGCATCAGACCTAAATGAGAAAATCCATTAACAGACTAACTCAAGAAAAAAAAAAAAAGCAGACATTTTCGGTCTTAATCAGAAGGTTTTATTCATGTCCTCAAAGAAATCAGAGACCTGATTCAAACTCATCAGTTCGAGACCTCTTTGGAAACCCTTCAAGTCACTTTAACTAAACTTACCCAGAAAACCATTCAGACAGCTGATGATAAACCCAGTCAGTAGAGTAAAAGAACTGCAAGAAATTGAAACCAGAAATTAAACTCCACAATATAAAGTACAATTCTCATTTTTTGTATGTTGATGCATCAGCTAGGAGCAAAAGATATTGCTATGTTCTACACAGATTTTCTGCTGAACTATGAGCATCATGAATTGTGAAGTCAATCTCAGACTCACCAGATAGCACTGATTGAGTTCATGATAGAGTTCCCCAGCTGTGAAGAGAAACAGGAGTAAGAGAAGAGCAAGAACGAATGCAGTATTGAAAAAGAATACTGGTGATGCATCAGTTAGGGGTGAAAGACTTTTGGTTTATGTTCTACAGGGAAATTCAGCTGAACTATGCAGTCATCATTTGCATCACAGGAAGTCATGAGCATTATAATCAGAAATTAGTACCATGCTCAGCTGATGGCATATCCATACATCTTGATCCAGCTTCTTGAGAAACCTGTAATAATTGGACTATTAGTATAGAAAAAAAAAAAGAAAGAGAAAAAAAAAAAAGTACAAGGTCTCAAACACCACTGTTTCAGTAAACGATTATCTTTCAGTTTTTTTCAGAGAGATTCCCATTGTTTTATAAAATCATCACGAACAGTGCATGACGGTACAATTTGGGCTCTTATAAAAGCTTACCTTTCAGTTCAACTGCTTTACACATTCCTATAAACAAACAATTGGTATAGAACACTTAAAACACTGTGCTTCAGATAAGAGATCTTGGTGGTTGCAATTTCATTAGAGTAGCAAATATAATCATAAGCACTATTTTAAATGTGAAAACATACCTTGGACACATCGTAACTGCTTCAGTTCAGATACGCTCCAGATTCCTGCAAACAAACAAAAAAATTTAGCACAATGCTATAACATTGAAGTCAGAAATAAAAAGCTCACAATGCCTCAGAATGAAAAATCTCAGAAATCACTTCTGTCCACTACTCTTATACATGTATATTAATCATAGGCAAACCAAATCCATTAATGCATATAAAATAAGACTCAATGTTGATATACCTGCTGTCTGCCACCTTTGCAAAAGTCTCCAGGACACTGGAAAGAAAGTAATTCATTTAAAAATGTTCTGCATATTCACATAGCCATACACAGAGTTAGACAAATCAGAAATGTTGGCATTCATCAGATATTCTCAGATGTCCCTACCAACATGATCTTCATCATATAAGTAACAGTCATGATACACTTGTAGTGGTTTCAATGTTCATTATTTAAAATGCCATTTTTATACAAATAACATTTACATTAAGCACAAAAAAAAAAAAAAAAACATTAATGCACTTACACTGCATTCAGACAGCTGATCTACCCACAGTCAGTCAGTAGAGTAAAAGAACTGCAAGAAATTGAAGACAGAAATTAGACCACTGTAAAAAGAGGCAAATATCAGTTTTTGCATGTTGATGCATCAGCTAGGAGCGACAGATATTGTGGTGTTCGTATTGTGGAAATTCTGCTGAACTAGGAGTTCAATCGCATCATGTATATGCCGATTTCGCACAGCTGCCATTTTGAGATTGAAAGAGACTCCGGTGGGAAGAACCCAGGAATTACAGACAATGCCTTTGATTTCCAACTTGAAGCTGCGGCGACTTACACTATTGGATAAGTTCGTTCCTGCTTTTTAGATTCTGAATTCTAAAAATAACATGAATTTCACTGTATATAGTTTAAAGCATGAAAGAAATGCACATACATTTAGAATAACTAATTTCTACATTAATACATTGCATTTGCGACTTTCCTATAATTAAAGGCACTTCTGGTTTTCTACCCACCAGAACCACTTCAAAATGGCAGCTGAGTGAAATCAGCATATTGTCAAGTCATTTCAATTTCAGACTCATCAGATAGCATTGAGCCCATGCAGTTCTCCAGCTGTAAGAGCAAGAATGAATGCAGTATTGAAATAGAAAACTGGTGATGCATCAGTTAGGGGTGAAAGACTTTGGTTTATGTTCTACATAGAAATTCAGCTGAACTATGCAGTCATCATTTGCATCACAGGAAGTCATGAGCATTATAATCAGAAGTTAGTACCATGCTCAGCTGATGGCATTTGTGTGTTCAGGTCAGACATTCGCAAAGCATCACAAAACCCAACTATGGAAGATATTGCATGTTTGCAAACAAACAAACCTGTAAAAACTCATGTTGTATCTGAAGTCACATGGTACTACAAAGCCTTCAGCGCTTTACCTGTCAACGAGAAGACACCTGTTAGAACAGAAAACTGCCACCATGAGGATCAGGACTGACAGGTCATGTGACCAGATCAGCCAGAGCTAATATCCATCCTCCATGGCAAAGTCAGAAGATATTCAGTTCATCATAATGGTCAATCATCATGTCAGCTGTGAAATGTTTAATACTTACATACTCATTGGTGATAAGTTAAGGGCAGGTCACAGGTCAGACCTAAATGAGAAAACCCATTAGCAGGCTAATTAAAAAAAAAAACCATTGTCTTAATCAGAAGGTTTTATTCATCTCCTCAAAGAGATCAGAGACAGACAAACTCATCAGTTTGAGACAACTTTGGATGCCCTTCAAGTCACTTTAAACTTACCCAGAAAACCATTCAGACAGCTGACAATATACCCAGTCACTGGAGTAAAAGAACTGGAAGAAATTGAAACCAGAAATTAGACACTGCAAAATAAAGTAAAAATCTATTTTTTTACACGTTAATGCGTCAGCTAGGAGCAAAAGATATTGCAATGTTCTACAGATTTTCTGCTGAACTATGCAAATTGCACGTTGAAGTCATTTCAATCTCAGACTCACCAGATAGGATTGAGTTCATGCAGTTCTTCAGCTGTGAAGAGAAACAGGAGTAAGAAAAGAGCTAGAAAGATTGCAGTATTGAAATAGAATACTGGAGATGCATCAGTTAGGGGTGAAAGACTTTTGGTTTATGTTCTACAGGGAAATTCAGCTGAACTATGCAGTCATCATTTGCATCACAGGAAGTCATGAGCACTATAATCAGAAATTAGTACCATGCTCAGCTGATGGCATATCCATACATCTTAATCCAGCTTCTTGAGAAACCTGTAATAATAAACACTATTAGTATAGAATAAAGAAAAATAAAGGAGGAGGTCTTAAACAAGCACTGTTTCAGTAAACAATTATCTTTCAGGTTTTTTTCAGAGAGATTCCCATTGTTTTATAAAACGATCATCATGAACAGTGCATGGCAGCAACCTAAAAAGCACTTTGTATAGGCTTAAAAAAAAAAAAAAAAAGAGGCTTACCTTTGAGATCAAATGTATTGAACAGGTTCCTGACAGAAAAAAGAAAAAAAAACTAGTAAGATAATTGATAAAAGCACATAACACTTAAAATGTAGACACTGTGCTTCAGATAAGATATCTTGGTGGTTGCAATTTCATCAGCATGAACTCAAGAGTAGCAAATAGGGTCATCATTCACACTATGTATTAGTATTGATGTACTAATAAAAAAAAATAAAATACCTTGGACACATCCTAACTGCTTGAGTCCAGATATGCTCCAAATTCCTGAAATCAAAAAAAAAAAAAGTTATCACAACGCTGACAAACATAGAAGCCTCAAATAAAAACCTTAAAATGCCTCAGCGTAAAGATTATCAGAAATCACTTCTGTCCACTACTCTTATACAATATTAATCATAGGCAAAACAAATATCTACAACGTTTAAAACAAGTCTCAAGGTTGATATACCTGCTGTCTCCCGCCTTTGCAAAAGTATTCAGGACACAGGGTCTGGAAAGAAAATAATCTATTTTAAATGTTTTTGCATAGAAGACTTAAAAAAGTACATATAACATATTTATACATGTCAGAAGTGTTGGCATTCATCAGTTATAATCAGATGTCCCTACCAACATTAATCTTCATCATACAAGTAACTAACACGAGGTCATGATGTTCTTGTGTAAACACGGTTTTAAAGTTCATTTAAACAAATTAAACCTTAGTTAATTGTTATCGTCAAACAAAAAAAAACTTTCCTTGAAGCAAAATTACGGAAGAAAAAAAAATTAGAAGCATTTAAAGTTCACTCAAGGCCTAACGTTATACCACGTGGATCACACTTCGAATTAACAAGCAATTTTTGTATCCATGTATTGCATGTAATAAAACAAAAAACACAACTATAACCGAAAAATAAACAAATCCATATAGAATTTCCAGCATAAATGTTGAAAGTGGATTACTGCGCTGAAGTTAAGATAACATTACCTTCTCAGAGGAGCGAGGCGGAAGAATGAGACCGAGCGAATGCGTCGTTTTGCTTTTTATACTGTTTCAGCGCAATGGTTTCTGGGAAATGCCTTTCCTATGGCTTATACTGACACAAGATGGCGCTATGGTGCCTTTTGCTTTCTGGTTCTTACTGGCCACATTATGTCCATTACGTGAATTCGGATCAATGCTAAAGAGAAACATTAACATTAATATGGCCACATCTTGTTATATATTAATATACTAAGTGTAATAGTGTAATATACTAAGTGTAGCACCAATGATTAGATACACTCCGATCTACTGAGAATGGCAGGCAGATAATGTTCCTTTTAACGGATCTAAATTAATAATATAACGTAGTCACTAATTTTGATTAAAAAAAAAACCCCGATCATTTTCAATGACTTTTATAATAACTGGATAGTCTTTTTTCTTAAAGCACTTTAAAAAGACTACATCCACAAAGACCAATTTCAAGCCAATATTTTAGTACAAAGCAAAATGTGTTTTCAATCTTTGTCACTGCATGAGAGTTATTTTACACCCATTCTGTTTGTGTGCAGAACAAATTTACATGAACACTTCTATCTTGAGAACAACCACTAAAGTTTAGTATAGCATTGCTGTAGACTAAACACGAGATATCTTGGTAATTAACCCTCCTTCTCCCGTAAATGTAAAAAAAAAACCCTACCCTGGTGGATCAAAATGACCCAAATCACCAAAATTATACTTTGTTTTATTTCGTTTTGATATATTTTATATTTTGATATAATTATATTTTTGAATGAAAATTGTTTTGTAGATATTTATCATTATATAATTTAAGCACATTCTTTCAACTCATATTTTCCATTTGTGTGGGGTGAAAAACACCCCCCTACCCCAGATGTGTGTGTGTGTGTGTGTGTGTGTGTGTCTGTGTGTTTATGCATGTATTCTACATTGTGTATTTTTCTATAGTCTCATGCATTCATTTGTGTGTTTGTTCTGTATTGTGCCAGATTAAATTTTTTGACAAAAAAAAAAAAAAAAGATCCTCACATTACATTAATTCCTATAGGGGTCAAAATGACCCAGCAGTGAAGTATTTGTTACTTTTTTTTTACGTCAACCACATAAAGTCCTCAAATCCAGCCAATTTTTGTGTGCGCAAGTCCTAAATTCTTGGATCACTCTGATGATCACACTTTTTTTTTAATAATTAATTTTGGGTCAAAATGTTCCAAGGAGAAGATGAGGGTAAAGGTTATGACAAACAAGAAAAGTTACTGTGAAAAATGATGTACTGAATATGTATTACTTGCAGGGTTTCCACACATTTTGACCAAAGATTTTTAAGATAGTGACACAGGGCAACATTTTGAGCAATGTTGCCGTCAACAGGTAACCAGATGAGACACAGGGCCCACGACCGATCTATATTATCCAGATGTTGTATTGTACATTTTCAATGGCAAAGTGCCCAAGTAACAATTTCTCTGCAAGATTGCCCAGCAACATTGCCCAATAAGTTGCCCTGTGTATCATCACCTTAAGTCTGATCTACATAATTTAAAATTTTTTTTTTTTTAAACACACTAAAAAAATCCCTTGTAGTTTTTAAAATTAAATAAAGTGAAAGTAAGCACCTACACCTAAAATAAAATCACCTCAATCGACTCTGGATGTCTGGAACAAGAAATGCATTCAACCTTCTCACACAAATTGGTCTCACTGAGATTTAATATTATATTTTGATACATGGAAATCTGGTACAATCAATTGTCAGGCAAATTGTTTGGGATTGCCTCTGGAAAGCAATACTAGGCGAAAGTGAACTTTACTGCATATGGCAAGGCCTCAGATTTTCTACAGAAGATGAAGAGCAAATGGCTTTTTAAGCTATAACAGTGATAATGTTTTGCCAGTTTTGCTCATATTGCATGTAAAAAAAACGGATAATACAATTTGATTTTGCTTGTTGCAAGTGTTACACCACGTATATAGACGTCATTCCACGTATTCATCAAGAGTAAAAGCTGTCCTGAGTGACTCCAGACTGTTAATATCATTTTACCTTCAATAGGAGAATCAAATCTTCATGATACATGACTATATGAAACATATTTATTTGGATTAAAACGTGACATTTCACAGAAAGAGAGATTGCAGGGCAATTTGTGATAACGTTGCTTAACCTCAGCGGTAGAAGCACAGATTTTTCGAATGGTTTTATTGTGCACCATTACGATTTCCTACTGGACAGTCTTAGAATATACTAAGTTGATAAATTATGTGGAAAGTCAAGCAGCATTCTATAAAAAAAAGCATATCAAATCATTCCCAAAAACAAAAAAAAAATGTATTGGAATGGATAATAATCATGGCAAATGTGTCTTAAATTTCAGCCCCATGTTGTAAATGGTACATTTTGCTCATTGTGGCTTTTGTAGCATAAAACTGTCTCTTAAAAGGCTGATGGAGCAGAACATAAAGGGAATGGTTGCCGTCAAGTTTGAATATTCCAACAGTTACTATTGCCCTAGAGAAAGAAGAAAAAAAATGGAAAAACAAGAATATATCATATCTTCTATATATAAATAGCTGGAGCTAGCAGTATGTGAACCAAGTTCTCTTTTTGTTTACTTTGTAATTCCACCGTTAAGGCTTTTCGAACATTAAGATACAGCCTTCAATCCTCAGTCCGCAGCTTCCCTGAGATACAGAACGCTGTAGTTTTCAGTTTTGTTCGATAGAAACCCCTCAACCCCTCAGAAGTGAAAGTGGGATCGTTCTTCTTTTGCCGAGACGAGAGCGCTTGTTTGATTTGTGATGCTGAAGGGCTTCTGATCACGTCGTCTTTGTGTTTGTGGTGTTTTTTCTTCCTCAAGGGGTGGTAGAGAGGTGCAAGTGTTGAACTAGCGAGCAGGGAGTTTTTTTTTTTATTTGTATAGATTATTTAAGTTTGTATTTTCTTCTTGTTTATTCGTTCAAACTTCGAAAATGCAAAGCTGTAAGGGTTCATTCATCAGTCATTCCAAGGCTGAATAAGAAAAGTGGTTTGCGAGAGAGTTCTGTTTTCTAGACTCTGTGGTTTTGGAAACGGCCTCAGTGTCGTTGCGATGCTAGTCGCTTCAGGAGAGGCTCGTCGTAGACCCAGCATTCACCGTCCTCATGAAACAGCTGCAGGGAAACAAACAAATCACACATTAAACATAAGCATTGATCTGAAAGCAAGACACTTCAGTTCATGAAATAAGATGGTTCAGGTGTTTCACATTATATTAGAGCACTTTTGAATATCTTTAGAGAACATTTCATCAAAATAGTTTCTGCAAATAAACAAGATCCAAATCTGCTTCATTTTCACATTTAAAATTTTTGTTCTGAAACATTTTGATGCCAATGTCCCTCAAATATGATAATTGCCTATGAGTGAGCGAGCCCCTTCCTAAAACAAAAAGACAACAACATATTCATTTATATAGACCCATTTATTATGTGAGAAAAAATATATTATATTATAATGAAAATTATAAATTTGCATGTATGCATATATATATACATATATACACAGTTGCAAGCTATTTTTTTATATATATAAAAGTAAAATAATTACACATTATCTTTATAATATATAGAGAACATATAAATGGTAACACGTTAGAATATATTTCATTTTAGTTGTTAAACTTTATGTATTAAAGTTAATGTTAATTTCAACATTATTACATTTTTTAAAATCAAAAGTTGTATCTTTTAACATTACTAAATGCAAAGTGAACTAACATTAACAAACAAATAATGACTTAAATTTATTAACTAACATTAACAAAGACATATATACAATTAAAATACGTTAACTAATGTTAACAAATTAGACCTTATTGTAAAGTGTTACCGATATAATGTATCTTTATAATGTCTATATTATTTTTTAAATATTAATACATTTTAAAAAAGTTACAAAAAAATATTTACTTTCTCTTTAACATCCTATTTCAGCAATCAGTTTTGAAAACCCATGTTAGACAATCTCACAACTGTAACTCGTAACTGTAAATGAAGCCAACATCCTTATTATTTGATTAAAGCTCAATAGTACGGCTCTAGATATGAGCAGAATGTTCCTTTATGAAACATTTAGATTGATTTGCTTATGCTTTCAGGCACCAATGAGAACACATTTTACAATGATTAAATCCATATCCCAGATTTCATCCAAAAAATCAGCTTAGAACAAGTAGTTTCCATCCAGTCTGGCAACAACAGACAGTCCTACCATGAGCTCAAATGTTAATCAAAGGTATATGCTTCTATAGAAACCATAAGTCAAAGCAATTTTAACTTCATTTTACAAAATAAAAAAAAATTTTAATTGATAAGTTGGTTGGTTTTTTGAACAGTTGAAATATGTTGAGAGTAAATGAATTTAAACATTTCATTTACTTCGAGTAAATGAAAAATTGTCAAGCACTGTTGGGCCCTATAAACATCCAGCTATTTGCATCATAACGCTCAGCTAAAGAACATGCTGTAATTAGCGACAGGAACCAATTAAGAACCATTTATCAGAGTCATATTTCAATCTCATTATTTCTTACAGCATATTTCCCCCCCAAATGTGTGTGTGTACATAAGCACACTCACTCTCGTCTCCCATTGCATTTCATTCTCCTTTCTCTCTCTGGCCTCCGCCCTCTGTTTCTCCTCTAGCCTGTGTTTGGCTTCCGTCGCAGCATCAATGTCCTTGAGTTTCAGGTTCACTGTCACGTCCTTCCACAAACTGACAACCAGACAGAAAAAAAAACAACAACGCACTGCATCAGATCATCTCACAGAGGTACCCAAGCAGAAATAAACATCACTTCAGCAGGTCCCCAGAGGAGCCGGATCACAAAAATAGCCTTATGAAGATCAGCGAATAAATAAAGTGCAACAGGGAATTAAATACTGTGGGGTTCAAAAGTCCATTAGTGAATTATTTTGCAATTTTATTATTAGAATAATAATTTTAGTATAAAGTTGAATTGAAAAACTGAATTTGAAAATGTATCTGTTT